GGTATTTGTATTTATACATTTGTGTATAATATGAATACACGTGGTCTTATGTGTAAATAATTAGGCAAAATTGCTCTAAAAATCTGAAGGATAAACTACTTTATACCATGTAACTGTATATATGTAAATATACCTTTAAAAAAAAAACTGAAGCAACATACACCAAAATATTAAGGAAGCTGCCTCTGCGTGATCAATTTAATAATGTTTTTATATTGTTTTCTGCTTTTCAGTGTTTATGTGCAATATTCACATAAACCAATATATATTATGTGGAAGATATGTGTGAGAGATATATATATATATATATATAAACATCTTAGTAATAACACGATTACCTGTAAAAATTGTCAAAACAAGGGTGTTTTGAAGCCATACAGTAATAACTGCTTCCAGGTAAGTCCTATTGCTATAAACAACTGTTAAAATTGGCAAAATATATTAGGTAACTGTTTTCAGAAAATGGAAAAGAGGCAGGGCAGGGAAAGACTGAGATCTGTGGGAAAAAGAGAAACTAATGAGCTGATCTCCTTGGGAGTCTCTTCTCTGCCTGGGGACAATTTCCTAGCTCTGTCTCAGAGCCCTGAAATTCAAGCAGAAAGTGGAGGTCCCACTGAGTTGAGGAGGCAGAGATCAGAGTACTAGGCAGCTGAAGTGTTAGAGTCTGTGAGTCAGAGTAATAGAAAGAAGGGAGGTGTGCAATGTTGACTCTAAAAGTCACATTGTATGGGGTTCCCTATGAGGCTTTGCCTGAAGGCTAGGCTGTACTTGCATAAGACTAGAAAAACACAAGACTTACAGGATAGCAACATAGCAGCTTTTATGGAGTTGGCAACAGAAGAAAGAAGCCAAGGAGTCCTGGAGAAGAGCAGCAGGGAGTATTGAAGTTGAAGCCATCTTAGAGTGAAGAGATATCATGAAAGCCCTTGGCTGCATGAAAAAAACCAAAGAGCCTCTCCGTTAGTAGTTAGAATTATGCTCTGGAGAGCTATCCTCTCTAGACCTTTCCTTAAAAAGTCTGAATCACAGTCCCAACAAGATCTCTACAGTAGAGAGATTTGGAGATTGAATCCCACAAAGTTAGAGTCTAGGGCAAGAATTGGGGCTTTTCACAGATCTAATCAATAGTGTAAAACTGTGCCTGTACAAGTTCAGCATGATCAGTCAGTAATTAACAGTCTGCTAAAACAAACTGCCCTCTAGGAAACGTTACAGATCTAAAGTCTCTGTAATGCAATATCCACAATGCCCGTTATTCAATGAAAACTACCAGATATACAAAGAAAAAGGAGATGTGATCCATAGTCAATGAAAAAAGTGAAACAATCAATCAATGAAAAAATAAAAATCAACCCATAGAAACTAAACCAAAGATGGCTAGATATTGGACTTAACAGATAGACTTTAAAGAAGGTATTTTAGGGGCTCGCCCCATGGTCTAGTGGTTAAGTTCAGCATGCTCCGCTTCAGCAGCCCAGGTTTGGTTCCTGGGGACTGACCTACACCACTCGTCAGCGGCCATGCTGTGGCGGTGACCCACATACAAAATAGAGGAAGACGGGCACAGATGTTAGCTCAGGGCCAATCTTCCTCGAGCAAAAAGAGGAAGATTAGCAACAGATGTTAGCTCAGGGTGAATCTTACTGAGCAAAAACAAAAAAAAGGTATTATAAATATGTTCAACGACATGAGAGAGAATATGGGAAAAGAATCAAAGGAAATATAGTCTTAATGAATAAACAGAGAAATCTAGCAGGAAAAGTGTAATTATACAAAAGAACCAAATAAGAATTGTACTGGAAAGTAAATGAAAATAAACAAAAAATTCATTGGATGGGCTTAAATGACAGACTGGAGAAGGCAGAAAAAATGCCTAATGAGCTTGAGGACAGACAAAATTTTCCAGTCTAAGAAACGAAGGAGGAAGATTGAAGAAAAATGAACACAGCCTCAGTGACCTGTAGAAGAATATCAAATTGCATAACATATGTATAATTGGAGACTGAAAGTAGATGAGGAAGAAAAATATTTTTAAAAATAAAAGAAAAGCTAAAGGAAGCTCAGCAAACTCTATACCAAGATAAAGAGAATGATATTTAGACACATTATAATCAAACTATTGCAAGCCAAAGAAAAAGAGAAATTCTCAAAGGCAGCCTGAGAGAGAAAGAAAAACATATTATATACAGGGGAACAAAGAGAAAATGGTGGCTGACTTCACACTAGAAACAATGGTGTACGGAGGAAAATAGAATAACACCTTTAATGTACTGGGGAAAAGAAAAAACAGGCAGAATCCTAAATCTCACAAAAACATAAGTGAAATGAACCTATTTTTTTTTTTTTTTTTTTTTGTGAGGAGATCAGCCCTGTGCTAACATCCGCCAATCCTCTTCTTTTTTTGCTGAGGAAGACGGCCCTGGGCTAACATCTGTGCCCATCTTCCTCCACTTTTATATGGGACGCCGCCACAGCATGGCTCGCCAAGCAGTGCGTAGGTGCGCGCCCGGGACCCGAACCAGCGAACCCCGGGCCGCCGCAGCGGAGCGCGCGCACTTAACCGCTTGCGCCACCGGGCCGGCCCCATGAAATGAACCTATTTTTATATACAAAACCTGAGAAACTTTTACTCCATCAGGTCTCCACTACATAAAGTACTAAAGGATGTCCTTCAGGTCACAGGGAAATGGTGCTAGATACTAACTCAGATCTGCAGGTAGAAATGAAGACTATCAGAAATGATAAATAAGTGGAAAATTTTAAAACTATATTTTCTTTCTTTTTATAATTTATATACAATACATCTGTCTGTTCAAATATAAAACGACTGTAAGATGAGGTTTATAATTTAGGCAAGAGTAAAAGATATAATTACTAATGACTATAGAAAGGGGGCAGGTAAATTATACTGTTGTAAGATTATTACATTTGTGAAGTGAGATGTAGAAGTGAAGTATCAGGTTTGAAATGAAAGGGGGAGGTAATAGTAGAACGTGTGAAGGAGGTATGAATTATGAATTGTGAGTACAATGAATAAAATATTGACTATAATTAGACTATGAAAAGTTATGAATGCTTTTTGTTAGCCCTAAAACAACCACTAAAACATAACAAGAAGATAGAGCTTTAAGAATCAGTAGAGGAAATAAATTAAAATCTAAACAAAAAGAAATTGATCAACTGAAAAGAAGGTAAGGAGCCACAAAGGAATAAAAAACAGAAGGGACCAGTGGAAAACAAATAACAAGAAAGTAGACTTAATTGCAAACATATCAATAACTACAGTAAATGTAAATGAACTAAATACTAAAATTAAAAAAACTAATACAATGGGCCAGCCCTGGTGGCCTAGTGGTTAAGTTCAGCATGCTCTGCTTTGGCGGCCCGCGTTTGGTTCCTGGGCGCGGACCTACACCACTTGTCAGTGGCCATGCTGTGGCAGCAGCTCACATACAAAATAAGGAAGATTGGCAACAGATGTTAGCTCAGGGTGAATCTCCCTTAGCCAAAAAAACAAAACAAAACAAAAAAAGACTAACAATAAAATAGATGAATGTAACAGGAATTATACTGAGGGAAAGAAGCCAGACACACAAAAACGTACCTACTGCATAATTCATTAATATGAAATTCTAGAAAAAGCAAAAATCATCAGTTAGTAAAGGAAATCAGATCAGTAGTTGCCTGTGGCATAGGAACAGGAGCTGTGAAGATTAACTGCAAAGGAAAGTGAGCAAGCTTTCTGGGAAGATGGAAATGTTCTATATTTTGATTGAGTGGTGCTTACACTGTAGTATGTATCAATCAAAAGTTATTGACCAGTACACTTAAAATGACAGAATTTTACTGCAAATAAATTATACCTCAATAAAGTTAATTCTTTAAAATTTATCTATTAAAATACTGATCGCCTAGTGATTAAGATATCAGACTTTGAAACCCTCTGGTTTCAAATCCTGCCTTCACTAGTTTCTTGATCTATGACATAGGGCCAATTGCCTAACCACTCTAAGTTTTCCTATCTATAACATGGTGATAATGGTGGGTACTTTCTAGGATTGTTGAGAGGATTAATTCCTTATCTGGAGTAAGTATTCAACATATATTATCTTGTATTAATATTGTCATCACTACTATTATTACTATGTGCAGGACATGAAACTGTTGACAGAGATATGTCAAATCATGAGAAAAAGCTATTTTCATTTTATCTTCAAATAATTCTTTTAAAAGAAAAATGAGACAGATGAAAATAAACTGAAAAAGAGATGCTAATGATGGTATAAGACAACACAGTAGAGTCAGACTTGGAGCAAGTCAGTCAGTACAGGATTACTTGCCATCTTAGTTTCCTGTTCCCTCTGTAACAAATAAGTTACCACAAACTTTGTGGCTTAAAACAACACAAATTTATTGTCTCACAGTTTTAGAGGACACAAATCCAAAATGAGTATAATGAGGCTAAAAGCAAGATGTCAGCAGGGCTGGTTCCTTTTGAAGGCTCTAGAGGAGAATCCATTTCCTTGCCTTTTCTAGCTTCTAGATGCTGCCTGTCTTTGGCTTGTGGTTCCTTCCTCCATCTTCAAAACCACTGGTGTAGTATCTTCTTTTTCTTTCCCATGACCTTCTTCTCTTCTGTATCAAATCTCTTGCCTCCGTCTTATAAAGATACGTGTGATTACATTTAGAACCCATCCAAAAAATCCAGAATAATCTCCCCATCTCAAGATCCTTGACTTAATCACATCTGCAAAGCCCCTTTTGTCATATAAGAGAATATTCACAGGTTCTAGGGATTAGGACTCGATTATCTTTGGAGGCCTACCACACATATGCCAAATGTCATAAGAGCAAGATTGGAAATGAGAGGGGAAGAGAGAAGGAGACACTCGAGTGTTCTGCGAAATTTCATTTTTAAAAGTTTACAACCGTTTGCTCAAGGAGAAACAAATTTGAAGCAAAAACGAATATACAAAATAAACTTTCATTGTTATTTTTAGGTGTTTTAAATGTTTATCTACGATTGAAAGGGCAGACAACCATAGAGAATCCACTGTGGTCTTCCAGTGGGAACAAAGGACAACGATGGAATGAGGCTCATGTTAACATATATCCAATTACTTCATTTCAGGTAAGGAAAGTGCAGTCATTTATGGGCATAGATTGCTGCACATGAGCATTATGTTGAAGGAAGACCTTAAACAAACATTAGAATATGAATATTCAGAAATTCTGTGATATGAGCATCACAAAAATCACATAATTTTCACTTTAATTCTAAAAGCTGTTTTATAAAGAGAAAATGCCCTTTTCCTTTATTAATTAACATCTATCAACTAATATGTTTGAATAATAGTCTATCAAAAATCAAATGATTTGCCTGGAGAAAATGTAATCCATTTCTATAAAATCACATGGTAATATTTTGTTCCCTGAAGACAAACAACTTGGCTTCTTATAATATTATGGAAGCAGGATAATCAATTCTCAATCTGTTTGAATTTTACTTGATGGAATTTTATATGCTTTAGCAAAATGTGTCTCTTCAAGGTAATGCTGTTGTAATAATTTATTATGTTGATCATCAAAGTCAGAGAACTTTAAACAAGTTATTTTTCATTGTTTTTATATAGAAATAAGTGTCTTATATTAAATTGAGAGTTACCTGGAAATATATAGTGGAAATTTTAATGACTATAACAATGGCCAGCATGGCTACAGAAAATATTTAATGATGCTATTTCAGTGGGGAAAATAATGTAGTTTTAGTGATTTTAATCTCTATATGTAATATATGTATATTATATACTCAGGTTGAGTGTTTCTTTTTTCCTACTGGGGATTTCTTGGATGCATTTCATGGCGTATATAGTAAGGGTATAGAAAATCAGACAGCTCCCGTTATGCTAGTTTTTAATTGGTAGAATGTCCTTTTTTTGTAATCAAATCTAGAAAATTCTCTAATTCTATGAAATGCTAATGGCTTTGATTTAGAAATTGTACTTCTAACCAGGATGATAAAAATGCATACAGTTGTTCACAATGGTAATGAATAATGGAGTGAAACTAGCTGATTATCCACAAACACATAAAAGCAACTCAAATCATCGACTCTGGGAATCATTTTGTTTCTATGAAGGAAAATACAGTTGTGAAAATTGAATCTATGGCAACATATCATTAAACTGGGAAGACAGAACTGCAAAGCATTACTGATAAAAGTAACCTTAATATGAGAGTGTACATACTTAATAGGTATCAAAGAGCCTTTCTTTCTAAAAAGTTGGTGTTCTTCTAGACGTATTTTTGCTTCCTGTGTGACTGCCTTGCCAACACAAAATTATTAAATCAAATACATATACAATAAGTATTTAAGAGAATAGTTATATTAATGTTTCCTTCAGGATAATCCCTTGTTGCTACAGACATCGATTAAATAAATATTTATTGAGCACCTTCAGGACAATCATTTATTGTCATAGATAACAGGTCAATAAATACTTTTGAGCTACTACTGTGTGCCAGGCACATTGCTAGGCAAGAAGATTTAAAATTGATAGTTTACCTCAGATTGGTAGAGATACACAGCTAAACACATACATCACATCCTGTAATAACTGCGGTAACAGATAAGCGCCAAGTTCTGTGAGCACAGCAAACTGACAAGAAGAGTGTGGGGAGAGTGAAGAAGAGTTTCTGTATGAGCTGACACATGAACTGACGAGAGGGGTTGCAAAGCAGGAGAAGGGCCAGTGTTCATATTGCAGCAGAGTTGAGTGGACAAAGAGATCGAGGTCATGTACCACAGGATGTGCCAGAGAAACAGAAAGACGTTTATCTGGAACTTGGTTTATAAAAATACATCAAAGACTGGTGCGAGATGAGGTTAAGGAACCTAAGGAGCTTAGGCAGTGGGGAGTCATGGAAAGATTTTACTCAGAGGATGACATGGTACATGACTCAGGTTGTTGTATGGAAGACTGGTTCAAAGTGGGAAAAAGAGGATGGCAAAGCAGTTAGGACACTTGTGAAATCCACGTGAAAGATGTTGAAGGGACGAACTAGGGAAGTGGTATAAAGAGAAGTGGACGACTTCAGGATACACTTAAGTGTAAAGACCACCAGAACGTTTTTATGTTGGGAATTTGGGAAGGAGCCATAAATGACTAGGAAGTTTCTAACTGGGAAATCTTGGGTAATGCTTGTGTTACACATTACCATAAATAACAAAAAGAAGAAAAGAAACAAGCTTCAGGGATGACTATGGTTACTTCTCTTTTGAAAGTGTTAATATAAATGCCTGTGGACTATCCTTTTAAAGATGTGCAGAGGTTGTTGCACGTGTTTATCTGAAGCTTTGGGGACACACATTTATGAGTCATCAGATTGTATGTGCTCCCTAACACTGTGAGAGTGGTTGATATTACCAAGGAAAAGTGACACATCTGAATACTGATTAAAGGACAGAACCATGCAGAACACTGACCAGTCATTAAGATAACTTGTGGAAGAGGAACTTGATCCTCAGTAGTATATTTTAGAGTTAAAATGAATGAGAGCCAGGACAGTTTGGTGCCCAGAGAATTTAAAGACAGTGAGACTCAAATTGGAAGCAGGTTGAATCCAGTGGATTGGTCACCATAGAGAGTATCCACTCTTGAGACAGTTGCATAAGGTGGTAAGGAAATTGGGAAAACCACCATCTTAACTAAAACTATTTCACTGTTTAGATTTAATAAAATAGTCTACAGGCAGATATTAAATTATTATATAATTTATTGAAGTAGTTCTTTTATTCTATCATTTTTCACATTAGAAAAAGTATCGATTTTGTTTTGTTTTGTTTTTGCAAGTGAATGGATTCTTTATTCGGGATGTTACAACAAGGAGAATCCTGAAGGGAATGCCTCCCTGGATATAAGTGATGTGAGGGGTTTCACAGGGGAAAGAGACAAGAGGCTGAGTGCCAGCTCCAAGTTTGATGTTGCATTCTGATGGAAAGAAACTGCTTTTCTTTGTGATTTGGCCCATCTAAGTCCATTGCATCCTGTTCCCAGAATTGTTGATTAAAAGAAGGAATTTCAAGATGTGAGGTAGTCTTTTGTTACTGGGAAGCATGTGGTCAGTGTAAATTCAGAGCAGAACATTTTTACAATTCACTACAATTGACAAGTTTTCTGCAGCCTCGGGGATTTACATATTAAATTCACAAAAAGTGATGTACGAGAATGTTCAAAGCAGATGTTCAAGAATGTTCAAATGAATAAAGCTTTACGTATAATGGTCCAAACCTTAAAGAACTTCTCTCCCCACTATAATCAGCTCTTCTCCTCATTCCAACTGAGAAATCAGACTGGGTTTGTGGAGTTGGTGCCCAAAGTTGTTATCATTTCTGGTGCTTTTTCTTCCTTTTTGTCGATCCACATTTTCATCTGGCATCAATTTTATTTTGCCTGAAAGACTTCCTTTACCATTTATTGTAGTGTGGGTCTGCTGAACATGAATTCTTTCCATCTCTTTTCTTTCGTTGCTTTTAAGATTTTCTCTTTGTCACTGTTTTTGAGCAATTTGACTATGATGTGCTTTTATGTTGATTTCTTCATTTTTCATGTGCTTGGGGTTCATTGAACTTTTTGGATATGTGGGTTTATAGTTTTTATAAAATTTAGAAATTTTCCGGCTAGTATTTCTTCAAATATTTTTGCTCCTCCTTCTCTCCTTTGAGGACTCCCGTTACACATATATAGGGCCCCTTAAACATACGCATAACTCATTGATGTTTTTTAATTTTTAAAATTTTTCCATTTTTGTTCCATTTTGGATAGTTTCTATTCTGTCTTCACTTTCACTAATCATTTCTTCTGCAATGTCTAATCTGGTTTTCCTCTTGTTCAGTGTATTTTTCATCTCAGCCATTGTACTTTTCATCTCTATACATTCAATTTGTGATTTTTTTAAGAAAATATTTTCCATGTTTCTAGTTGATGTTTTGAACATATGAAATCCAGTTATAGTAACTACTTTAACGTCATTGTCTGCTGATGCTAACAGCTGTGTCAATTCTTGGTTGGTTTTGATTGATGGATCTTTTTTTCCTCATTACAAGCCATTATGGGTGTCAGACATTGTGAATTTTACCTTGATAGGTGCTGGATATTTTTGCGTTTCTGTAAATATTCTTGAGCTTGTTTGGGTATGTAGTTAAGTTACTTGGAAACAGTTTGATCTTTTTTGGTGTTGCTTTTAAGATTTGTTAGGTGAGACTAGAGTAGTGTTTGGTATAGGGCTAATTATTTTTCACTAAATCAAGAGTCTTCTCAATTCTCTACCCAATGCCCCTTGAATTTCCAAGTCCTGTGTGAGCTGGGCACTGTTTCCTTCAATGCACCCCTCCGGGTCTTTCCCAGGTCTTGGGTAGTTGCCTCACCTTCATGTCCTAAGCAGTACTTTGCTGAATACTCGGTGGGGGGCGGGGGGGGGGTACCCACTGCAGATCTCTGTAAGTCTCTTTGCTGGTGTTCTACCCTACGTCCTCCTGCTGCCTTGGACGCCTTGGACTCTTGGCTGTATCTGCTCAACTCAGGTTTTCTGTCAGGCTTCGTGTTGTTCTGCTTGCACCGTGGTCTATAAATTCTGCATAGGGCCATCCTGGGGCTCAGCTTGTCTGATTCTCATCTCTCAGGATCGGTATTCTTTATTACCCGATGCGTAGTGTCCTGAACACTAATGGTTCACATATTTTGTCCAGTTATTTGCTTGTTTCAGATGGGATGATAGATTTGCTTCCTGTTCCTCCATCTTGGCTAAAAGCAAATCAAAAAGTAAAGATTTTGAACCAATGCATTTCTAAGCTATTTAAATTATCATTGAAAAATAAAGGTAAATAAAATCATATTTTTATTTTGGATTTCTATGTTCTTTCATTCTCTAACATACTTCTAGGTCCATTGGCTAAGGACTTTCTTTTATTTCATAATCTTAATTGTTCAAGCAAACATGAAACACAACTACATCATCTTACCCCGTTTTTTGGTTTTTATTTTGTTTTGTTTTTGAGTTTCTTGTTGCCTTGAACTTTTTTCAGACAAAGGATTTTTTACTCAAAAATCGTTTATAACCTATCAAGCTTTT